GACATGACGCCATCTGGGTAATTGTTGACCGACTTACCAAGTCTTCCCACTTCTTGGCCATCAGGATGACCGACCCCTTAGACAAGTTGGCAAGAATGTATATCCAGAAAATAGTCAGATTGCACGGAGTTCCAGTAACAGTGGTATCCGACCAGGACCCCAGGTTCACTTTTCGATTTTGGAGTAGCTTTCAGCAAGCCATGGGAATAAAGCTGTCTCTTAGTACTGCCTTCCATCCTCAGACTGATGGACAATCAGAAAGGATAATTCGTACACTTGAGAATATGCTCCGAGCATGTGTCATTGACTCCGAGGGCCATTGGGACGACCATCTACCCCTGATAGAGTTTGCCTACAACAACAGCTACCAAGTAAGCATTGGCATGGCTCCATATGAGCGTTATATGGGCGCCCGTGTAGATCACCGATTTGTGGGAAGAAGTGGGCGATAGAAGATTGTTCGGCCCGGAGTTGATAGAGGAGACCACGTCTAAAATAGTTAAAATCAGAAAGAACATTCAGACGGCTCAGAGCAGACAAAAGAGTTATGCGGACACCCGAAGGAGAGATCTAGCGTTTGAGAAAAGCGATCGGGTGTTCCTTAAGGTCATTCCTTTCAAGGGAATTAGTAGGTTCGGTAGGAGGAAAAAATTGAACCCCCAATTTATTGGACCTTTTGAAATCTTAGACAGGATTGGTATTGCCGCCTACAGACTAGCACTGCCTCCAGAGCTCTCCAAGGTCCACAATATGTTCCACGCTATGTAAGTACAACCTGGACCCCTCTCATATCTTGGCTCATGAACCATTTCCACTTCAAGAGGACTTATCTTATGAAGAAGTACCAGTCGGTATCACGGACCGAAAGAGCAAGATACTCTGCAACTGAGAAATATTATTTGTAAAGGTCGTGTGGTAGAACCACACGCCCAGGGAGGCTACCTGGCAGCTAGAATCAGATTTTAGAGCCCAGTATCCCCATTTGTTCGACTAAGAGTAAGAGGCAAATTTGGGGGATCAAATTTCTTTAAGGGGGAGAGAGTTGTAACACCCAATTTATTATTTTTATTTTTTCTTATTATTTTGATATATATTAGAATTTTAGTTTAATTTTTTCAATATTTAATTTATAAGGTTTTAATTTAATTTAATTCAAATTAATGAAAATAAAAATAATAATAATGATAAAATAGGATAAAATTATTTTTGGAATTTAATTGAAATTGATTTTGGGAAAAAGAGGTGAAAATTTAGATTCTGGGGGTGT